ATTAGTTTTAACTAAAAAGTAGTTAAAACACTATAATGAATTAATTGTTTTAGTTGTGTAAACACTTTCTTGTCAGCTGATTTTTGTTACTTCTTTTGTTTTTTGTTATTTTCTTTTGTTAATGGAAACATATTGTAATTTTTTTTACTTACTAATATAGTTTATAGTCTAATTTACCTATTTTCATTTTAAAAAAATTGATAATGCATATTCTTAATGCTTTTATTTCACTTCAAAGTAAAAAATTAAAATTTTTTCCCTATGTGTAAACACTTTCTTGCCAAACTGTATGTATGTACATATAACACATGTATATGTAAAGCGTGACAATAAGCAATTTGATTCGAGTGAGAGGGTTAGAGGTAACGAGTGACTGGGCTGATGATTCACCCAAATATTTGATACGCGCAGCTAGGACAAACTTTCACCAAGGCCAAGGGACCGCGCACAGGCGGGCGTCTTGAACAAAACCAGGAAATTCATTCATGCATGCGCTGACAGCACCACCGGCAGAGTGCGACAGAGTGAGAGAGCGGCGTGTGAGCTCAGTTCTAGTTCCCTTTGCAATTGAACGCTTGGCTTACCTTTTCGAATAATTGCCGCATTTTTCTGCGATCCTCTGATTCCGGCTGCGAGTTGGACCGATTGAGTGGCACCTCCTCCATGTCAATGGTGTCCTGACGCATCGTTGGCGGCCGTGCTGGATGCGTCGGCGATCGCCGCTCGGCCGGTATATTCGGATAGAGGCCATTTTCGACGTCTCGCTGGTGTTGCTGCTGCAACTGCTGAGCGGGCGTTTGGCTCTGCTGGCGGGACACTGACTTTACAGGCATTCTCTCTAAGTTTCACGGCGGTATAGCAGTGGATGACTAAACGGCAAAAAACACGGCGTTTGTTTGTTTGTTGTCAATTGCTGTTGTTCTTAAGCTACTTCAATGTTGCGACCGGTTCGAATTCACTTAGCAATCATTTGTGTTGTCACTCATGCTTACGATAAGATTATTTTTTTTTTTTTGCTATAAAAAAGCAAGCACTGGCAAAAACTAAATGCACTTTGATATCACACCATTAACAAAAAGCGCAAAAAAAATATTAAAGTAAACCCACAACGATTGGCAGTCAACGCTAGTGTGAGGACTGAGCTAACGCGTCGACACAGTCTGCTCAGCTAAAGTAAAATGAGTGAGAGGAGGCAAGAAAGAGACACAAGTAAATGAACTTTGTGCAGCAAAAGCGTATGCTAACTCACAATGCACTGTTACGAGCGACGGTCACACTGCTTGCGCAATTCTGTTAAGTGCCCGGCGATTCTGTTAGCCGCCATGGCAATAGTGTTGCGAATGCAGTTTCTGGCAACGCCTTGCCGCCAAATAAACTGAAATTTGAATATGACTTTTATTTATTGTTTGCTCGTGCTCTTTCATACATCACATGTACTAAATTGGTAGTTTTATTAATACTTCATATTTATTGGATTTTTGTTTTTCAATACGTATAAATAAAAACTTAAACAAATTTACTGCACACACATTTTTGTTT